GATGAGATCACCAGAGAAGATAGCATAGAGAAAGAAGACAGGAGAGTACAAGACAGAGCCTTGAAGGACACCCACATTTAGTGGACATGACCTGGATGAATAGCCAGAAAAGGGGACTGTGAAGGAGTGGTCAGCCAGGTTGGAGGAAAACCAGAAGAGAGAAGTGTCATGAAAATCTAGAGAAAGAGGATCAAGGAGAAAAATGTGGTCAACAGTGTCACAGGCTGCAGAGATGTCTAGAAGGATGAGGACTGAGAAAAGGCCAATCAATTTGGCAATTAAGAGATTATTAATATCTTTGAAGAGAGCAGTTTCAGTTGAATGATAAACTTGGAAGCCAAATAGAAGAGAGTTAAAAGAGTGAGATGAAGAGAAGTCAAGGCACCAATTGTAGATGACCTTTTCAAGGAGTTCAGCCACAATAGGGAGGAGAGATATGGGACAATACCTAGCAGGGATGGATGGATCAAGGGAGGACTTTTTGAGGATAGTGGAGATAGATGTGTTTATATGGAGAAGAGAAGTACCAGTAGAGAGAGAGAGAGAGATTGCAGATTAGTGAGAAAGTAGGGATGATAAAGGGGGACAATCTGCTGGAGAAGAAGGGATGGAATGGGATCACTTGTACTTAGAAAGAGATTAGCCATGGCAAGGAGAAGGGCCATATCTTTCTTTGAGACAGAAGTGAAGGAGGAGATAGTGGCAGAAGGCAACTGAGGAATGTGAGGTTAAGTAGGGGAAAAGGAGCTCTCCATGAATGGCCTCATTTTTTTTTTTCAGTGAAATATGAATCAAAGTTCTTAGTTGAGAGGATTGGGGGAAAGGGAGTCATGGAAGGTTTGAGGAGGGATGAAAAGATTTGGAAGTCATGGAAAATGAGTAAATTGAGGAAATCGGAAGTCAGGGTGTTTGAGGGAGTATAATAGGTATGTTGAAGTCCCCTAGTATGAGGGCAGGAGTTGGGCAGGAGAGAAATGTTGTGAGCCAGGCACTGAATTCATTGAGGGAGGAAGGAAAGACTCCTGGGTGTTGGTAGAGAATAGCTAACAGAGTCTTTGTCCGGTGATAAATATAGATGGGATGAATCTCAGAGGAGGAAAGGTTGCCGAATGGTGGTGGTAGAGGGAGAGTCTGGAAGTGGCAATGGGGAACAAGTATTATCTAGATCCCTTTACCTCCACAAAAGGAGACATCATTGAGTGATAGTGCCCCCTGAATAGTCTAATTATGAACCTCCCTCAATGGACTTGTTTCCAGTCATTGACAGTCTGCCTGATCTCATTCTTCAATGGGTAGCATGCTCTCACCCCATTATCCTCTCCCCATCCCAGTGGTTTTGGATCCCTGGATGTTACTGTATAAATCCCATTCCCTCACTGGCCAATCTCTTCCTCTCATCCCCCTCAACCCTACCCCCCCCCCCCACTAATGATCTTCCCATTCCTTCCACTTTGCTCTCTGGGATGCCTGCTTCAGAGTTAACCAACTTGCTTTTTTTTCCCTTTCTCATTCCTTCATCTTCTGGCATTCACTGAGACCTGGCTCCCTCCCGATGACCTGGCATTATTGGCTACCCTTTCCAGAGCTAGTCACATGACTAATGAGTGGTGGATAGGAGTGAAACTGAAAGGGGTGACCAGGGGTGCCAGGTCATTGGGAGGGAGCCAGGTCTCAGTAAGTACCAGAAGATGGAAGCAATGAGAAAGGAAAAAAAGCAAGCATCCCAGAGAGCAAAGTGGAAGAGGGGGGTAGATCTGGAGTGGGACATTAGTGGGGGGCTAAAGTTGAGGGGGATGGAAATAAGGGAGCTGGCGGCAGAGGACAAGGATGGGATTTGTACAGTAACAAACCAAGCTCGGGCTTTAGCATCACTGAGAATAGGATTCTGATTACTGCATATATTTCCATTTCCCCAGAAATTTGTTTCTTCTTTTTTTCTTCCCTCATGGTTTCAAAATTCTGGAAATTTTATACCTCTATGTATATCTATTTCTTGGCTTGACAGCCAAAGAATTCATCCCTTGGTGGCCAACCTTCTGGCCCTGTATTTAGCTCAGCTGGGCCTTGGATGACATTTTGTCACCAGGTATGTACAGAAAGTCTTTCCAGCTGGATAGAACCTGCCAGAGCTTGTACTCCATGCTCTCATGGGAATCTACTGGGTTATCAGGTATGATTTATTTTCCTTGATCTTGCAATATTTTTTTCCATAGATGTCTGGACCCTTTTTGCTAATTTGGAGGCTATATTCATTTCTATTTTTACTATTTTCCCTGTTGGTTTATTTGCTTATGCTCAATTTCTTGAACTGAGTTTTTATTTCCTCCTGAGATCTTTGACAATTTTAGTCCTTTTTTTTTTTTTTCCCTTGTAAGGCTTGCTTTCTGACTCCTTCCCCTTTGAGTGTGGTTTCCTTGTGGGCTATTTCTCAAAGCCATCTTAGTTTCTTCCCACGCAGGGCAATTCACATTTCACTGGCTTCAGTCTCTACCCCAAGGGACTTCTAGGGGGGCCAGAACTGGCCTTAGCTAGATGTTAGGTTCTTGCCGTAAGGCTTAATGGAATTCCACACCTGGTTATGTCCCAATTCACTCTGTGCCTCAGTTCTCTGACTGAACTGTATTTTAGCCATAATGTTGTTGCACAGCCTGAGCAAGCTTCTATCTTTTGGTTTTCCAACATACTGGGAAGAGGAGGGATGGCCGTGTAGAATTAAGTTTTGTTGCCAGGCTGTGGGTCAGCTTGTGCAGCCCTGCTGTTCCATCAGTGGGGGTGGTAGGCATTCTTATTGTGTTCATTGATTTTTACTTCATTTGGGTTTGGGTTCTTGGTGTCCTAGACTGGGAAGATAACTGAAGTCACACACGATTCCTTTTTTGAAGAGGTTTGAGAGGTTGTCAGGATCAGAGAAAATGTCCTCCAGTTTGCTGGCCACATGACCAGGAACCAAAACCCTTTATTGTTTGTTTCTTGCAGCAAAATTGTATTCTATTGCATTCATATACCATCATTTTTTACTCAAGACCAGAAATACACACACACATCCAGGTTCATGGAGGGTCTGTGTGGAGCGTGAGCAAAATATTGAAGTCCTGTACCTTTCTAGGTGTTGTCTATGACATAAACAAAAGCCAGGGCTCTATTCCCTTAGTAGTAATCCTTCCAGGGATCTAGTGACCAACTTGTCAAGTTTTAAATGTCAATTTCTCAGGAAATGTGAATAAAATTCTTCTTCAGGATTAATGTTGTGGAGGGGGCATTTTGTTTTTATGGGAAGAATCCTGGTTTCTGGTTTTCACACATATTAGGAGTGTGACTTTGGGCAAATCAAACCTTCTTATCTGCAATATGGGTATAATAGTATGCTTGGTCTCCCTAGGAATGAAACTCACCTGAGGATAAGATTAAGTAACGGGGGAAAATGCTTGGAACTAGAAATATGATGTAAAGGCAAGGCATTGTTATTTTCTTGGCAAACTTTTTTTTCTTTTAAAGCAATCTGCATATTTATTCTTTATTAGTATAGTTTTTTGACACCACAAATTCTTCCCCAAAACCAGCCAAAGACTGCTCTCCCCTCACCCCCATCCCACAACATCACTTAATAGTGATTATGACTCTTTTTTCAGTTTATCAGTTTATTTACAGAAAGGAAGTGTACTTTCATAGATTGATACCAACAGTATCCATTTAGTGCTGTTTTTATTTACATCTAGTAACCTTGGTATATATTTTTTTTTTCTGCCTTCTTTATTTTATATCACTTCTTATAAATTTAGCTTTTTAGGGGACCTGGGTTAATGGTGAGAACTGGGCACCTGAGTCTCTGAGTAGGGCATAGAGTGGTGGACTAGATACGGTACCTGGCAGAACTTACCTAGCTGAAGCAGGGTTGTGAGGATACAGTTCAGAAGGTCTCGGAAAGGGTTAGGCAGGGGAAAGCAAATAATGGTGAGAAGACTTGATTCGGGGTTTTCATTCTTCTGCCTTAGGATTTCAGACTAAAGGCGTCTCTGAGAAGGAAGGCAGAGGAACTCATTTTTTCCCATGTGCCCTAAGCTGAGTTCCCTCCTTCTTCCTCACAATGATTTGTCATCTAGGCGACAATAACTGTCAGAGCCATGATTGATTTGGTAGTGGACCCGATCTTAATCCGACAAATCTACTTATCTGCGTTTGCGGTGGAGGAGGTTTGTACGCGTGGAATACCCGAGATCGACAAAAACTCAAGTCAGGCCCCAAGTCAACAAGGAAACTTGATTTCCCTCCCCTGTTTCGTTTCCGTTGCCTTTCTCACCCGATGTAAGCACGTGGAGCCTTTAGTGTCTCCAGTAACTCTGCAGAGACCAGGGCCTGTGTCTGTGCCTTTTGTCCACTCCCGGGCTCTGAGCTGCTAGACGGCATCACGTTTGGAGCCAACTTTTTGAGGGCAGAGGCCGTTTCGTTCTGGTCTTTGCACACCCAGTGACTAGCCCGTTATTGAGCGCTCGATAAGTGCTTGCTGGTTGACTGCAAAGTGCTTCTTCTCCAGGGCAGCCTGGTATCCCAGGGCACAGTTCCGGCAGCAGCCCGAGGCCGTGGCCCTACTTCCGCAGGGTGCGCGCCAGCAGCCCAGAAAGGAGCTTTTCACTTTCTTTCTTTCTCTCTTTCTTTCTGGGCCCCGCCCTAATCCGCCCGGGCCGATTCACTCGGAGTGGGCTGCGTGCGGGACGTGACAGCCTTCCCTCGTACGTCACCCCTTCCCACTCACCCCACCAGCCCTGCGAAGGGCGGGCCGGACCAATGGCTGGGCGCGTCTCCTGCGGCCCTGCCCAATGGGGGCTTCGGGAGCCTCTGCAGGCTGGGCGGGGCGCGGGAGGGGAGGCGGGCTCTCGGGGTGCTCCTCGAGGTGCGCGGCGCTGGGCACTTGGCAGTAGGCGCTGACCCCGCTGTGCACAGCAGTGCCTAGTTCCGGCAGCCCGAGCTCCCGCCGCAGCCGCAGCCGCAGCCGCAGCCGCAGCCGCAGCCGCAGCCGCAGCCGCAGCCGCAGCCGCAGCCGTCCCGCGATCTCCTCACCGCCAGCATGTCTCTGTCCAGCAAACTGACCTTGGACAAGGTGGACCTGAAGGGGAAAAGGGTCATCATGAGGTAATAATTCTCGGCGGCTCCTTCTCCGTGGAGCCTCCTCTTCTGTCTCCCCCGCGCCCTTCCGGGGTCCCCAGAGGCCCCCCCCAACTCCAGAGTGAGCCCGCGGGCGAGTCGGGGTGTGGGCATCCTTGGTGCCTGACTCAAGTTCACTGGGCTCCTTTTCTCCTTGTCTCTCCCTCCTCCCGACCCCCTCCTCACTCAGCCTCGTTGGGGTCGAGATCCCTCGCCCTGTGGGGCGTTGACCTCACCGTGCGGGCCCCTTGGGCCCCTTGCTCCTAGAAGGACCCTCAGAAGGTCATTCCCCTCCTGCCCCTGCCCCCCCAGGCGGGGCCCGCGTGGCTCCCAGTATTACATAAAGAATCCCTTCCCCCAGCCTCCAGCCCCTCTTCCCCCCCACCCCCACCCCCGGGAGAAAAGGAGGCGCCTTTTTTTTTTCAGCTGCTGTATCGAAATTGAGGATGCATGAAGAACAGTGCCTCAAAGCTCTGCGAATTAAGACGTATGGAAGTGGGGGTGGGGGGTGCGGGGTGCTACCCAGTAATGTTCCACCAAGCTTGTGTAACAAGCCTTGTGCCTAGCTGGGTTGGGCTGCGGGCCGATGCATTTGCATGAGGAGGATTATGACACGAGGTAATTTCTAGGTAAGCGTTTATCCCCGCACTCCTGAGTCCACTCTTCTCTCCCTCGGAATCTGGACGCAGGATCTTAGCATAAATAATCGTTTTAGAGTCCGGGTAGATCTTAAAGGGCATCCAGTCTAACCCCTTCAATTGATGAACAAACTTCCGGCTCAGAGACGGGAAGGGAGCTTACCCAATGTCCCACAGCTCGAGAATGGTAGAGCAGGGAACCGACCCCAGGTTCTCTGACTCCAGATGCAGCACTCTTTTCAGAGTTGTTTTTCCTTGTTTTTGTTGAGATTTTCCTGTGCCCCATTTCCTCTCTTGCCAAGCATTTCTTCCTTCTCTCCTCGAAGGGCTCACAAAGTGTTTTACATAAATTTGCTTCTTAAAACATTCTTGTGAAGTAGGAAGACTAGTATTATTCCCATTTTGCATTTGAAAAAAACAAGCTCTGAAGGATGAGGTGATTTTTTTTTTTTAAATTTTTGGGTCTTGGAAGCAGGACTCCGAATTCGAATCTTCTGAACGCTTCCCCTCCTCCTTTAGGGTTTAGGGTAGAAAAAAGAAACCAGAATGATGGCTTAGAAAAGAGAGCTTCAATTAGAGTTAGAGAACCTGACTCTGCCACTTGTGTTACCTTGGGTAGTCACATCTCTGAGCCTCAGTTTCTTCCTTTGTAAAATGAGAGGGTGGAGTAGAATGACTTCTTCGGCCCTTTCTGGTCTGTCAGTCCCCCCACCAATTCTTGGCTCATAAGAGCATACAGCAGCCAGACATTGAATTGTGGAACAGTTTGATTTCTCATGGTCTAAAAGAGTCCCTAGGTTGAAGGCCATATATGTATATTGCATTGCAATGTACCATCATTCCTTTTGTGGGAATGCTTGATTGACAGGTTAGTATGTGATTATTGGTTGTCCAGGTTCTCTCCCAGTTTGGGCAGATCTTCTGACCTGGATATTAACAGTCATCAAGCAGTGGGAAAGTCCCCTTCAACATGCTGTTCCTTCAGGACATTTATTTGGAATTGAAGAGAATGAACTGAGACAGATTTTTAATCCTGGCTGAGACCCGAGGAGGTCATTTAGCTTAACTCCCTGTTTCTAGTTTAGCTCTGGATAAGCTGGGCCACACATGACCTCTCCTGTGTCGCCATTCACCATCAGAATCATCCAGCAGCCTATACCTCCAAGAAACATTTTCCGATGTCCACATTTCCCTGACTTAGTTGGAGACATGCAATCAATCTTTGAGCTGCTTTTGTTTTATATAAGGGCCCCTCCTAGATAATGGAGAATTTCAAGTGCTTGTGTAATGTATTGGAGACTTCTGCCTGAGACACAGAAAGGTAGAGGTCATATACAATCATCTTGGAGTCTTTTCTTATTTCCTTTCTCCCTTCTTCTCACCCCATCTCTAGGCTCAAGGGTTCTCAAGGTCACCTCTGCTTTCTCTTGGTTCATGCATGCAGCCAGGTGGGGTAGGATGGGGGCCTGGAGGTTACATTCAGGTGGCTGGCCTCTATCTGCAGCACCAGGCATTCACTCTTTAGCCCCTAGATAGATGAAAATGGAACTTTGATTTCTGGAACTAACCTGATTGGAGTTAAGGAGAGTGGAATGTGTTTATCTTTCCCCCTGGACCTGATATGATAAGCATCTTCCTCCAAAGGGCTCAGAATTTCTCCTAATTTAGCCCAGGACATGAGGGGAATTAGCTAGGCACCAGTAGAAAGTGACCTGTCCAAGGTCACCCCAGTTAGTCAGTGGCAGAGGCTGGTCTATCCCTGGTCTCCTGACTGCTGGATCCTTAGGCAGGTTAAAGCAGCAGGACCTTGCCTCTGTTCGCCAAAGGTTGTGATCAAGAACATTGTATTTACTTGGCTGCTGAGGAGGTCTGGAAGTTTCATTTTCTGCCAATTTGTGTAGGTCTTTTGAATGATGAATCACACTTGGGATGGTGGGACGGGGCCCACTTTTTCAGTAGGCCCAGTCAGCCATGTGCTTGCTGCCAGCACAATTTCCTTTTGCTTTTCTGCTCCTGTGGTGGTTGCTGGCAGTAGCCCAGAACCCCTGATCTTTTGACCACTTGCTTGTCCTCTCCAGCAGAGAGAACTATGAAGTTTGCCCACTCTTCTGGCCCCCTGACTTACATGTGAATAATATTTGGGATATATAGCATGACCACTTATGCTGAAAATTTAGTTAAAAAAGTGCAGCCAATTAGTGGCTCACTGGCTGTGTCACTACATCGCCCTTCAGTTTTCCCAACCCTATGAGTAAACTTTCTGCTGCCACTTTTATGCAATGTCATTTCCTTTCCCCTCACAGCCCTTTACCAGCTTGTTAAGCACCTCTCTTTCCTCATTTTCTTTGCTTTTTTTTCCCCCCACTGACATGTTGTAACCTGACAGACTATCTGTAGATAGTGGATGAAAATGGAAGCCAAAGCGGAAGCCGTAGAGAGAGAAACTGAGACTAGAAGGGAGAAAAAAGGATTTTCATGTTTTTCTTATTTGGCAGCACATCTGTTAATTTTCTGAGTCTGCTGTGTGTGTTCCAGTGAGAAAGGATTTATTGCTTAGGTGGGGCAGTAGAGATGGGAATCAGACAATTAGGCAATTTGAACTGGAGGGGAGCTTAAGGATCATTTAATGAAACTTCATTTTATAGATGTGGAAGGTTGTGCCTTGTTAGTAGTAGTTAAGAATAGAACCTGACTCCTCCCTCCCAGGCCTTCACCTGTACCGGATTGCTAGAGAACTCAGATTATGAACCTCAGGCCTATCTGGATGTAGTGCAAGCCCCAGTTTTGTCTGGGTTGAGGGAGGAGAAATGTGGTTTAAAGTGAGGTGTAGAGAATGAGTAAGAAGCCTGTGGCAGTCCAGAGGGAAAGGTGGAGGAAGAGCCAGAGCCAAGAGGAAAACTCGGCCTATTCTGCTATGTAGACCTGGGAGTCTTCAAGAAGCAGGTTTGAGTGATTGATCCAGGCCTTGGTCACCATTGAGAGACCGGGTGTATGTTCCCCTTTTTTGAGTTTCTGGCTGGCATGTGGCAGTATTGGTCACCTGATTTAATGAACCTGCCTGCCTTGCAGTGCAGTGTACTGTCTCACTTCTCCTCTGTTCTGGCCCACATGCCCCTGCCTCACCACCCTAAAAGGAAAATTGAACAGACCGGCATAGGTCTTTTCAAGAGATGCTGATTAATTCCAGTCTGCTGGTTGACAAAGACTGCCCTAAAAACCCACTCCCTAGCTCTTGATTTTGGCTATTATAGGCAAACTCTGACCCCTGACCAGTTATGAGAAACACATTGGTACATTTCCAGGAGTGTCTAGATGCAAGGGTGATGAAGAGAGCAGAACTAGCTTGTTTTTAGCTGGTAGCAAGAGAATACTGTTTGGATCAGTATACCATCATTTCTTCAGCCATTCCTCAATCAGTGAGCACCCATTTTGTTTCCAGTTTTTCTTCGGTTTTGCTACCCCAAGAAAAGTATTTCTGTGAGTACTGGAGTAGATGCCCAGTAGTTGGTTGGTCAAAGGATACGAGCAGTTGAGAGTCTTTTAAAAAATAATTCCAAAATATTTTCCAAAATTTTGAACAGCTCCACTTGAGAACCAAGAAATGGCTGCTCTTTTAAAAATCCAAAACCAAGTTCAGGTAACTCAACCCTAACTAACAGTTGGTTTTGCTTAACTCTCTCTCTTTACTAGTGGGGGAGGGGGATATTAGGAAATGACTGGTATTAGTGTGCTGGCCTGTCTTTGCTGAAACCATCTTAAAGTAATACCTCTACCTAGCAACCATTTTTCCTAGCTTGTCCCATTAACAGCAGGTATTTTTCTCTTATAATCCCTTCCCTTCCAAAATCTTTACCCCCTGAATCTGAAAACACTGTGGGTAAAACAAGTCTCTCTTAGCCTTGTTAGTTAATTAGATAGGGTTGCCTGGAATTAATATAGTGCTTTACAGCTGTAAAATCACTTTTCTTGACAGTTTCCCTGTAATGTAGGCAGTAGAGAAAGTACCACCATTTTACAGGGGAAGGTTAACAAAGGTTAGAGAAGTGAAGCCATCCCCCCTTTTCACCAACACATGAAGCCCATAATAGGGAAAGGTTGAGATTTCAGTTGTTTCGGCCAGAGAGGACGTGGAATAAGGGGGCTTTCTCTAGTCATTTGACATAGCTTGAGAGAAGATTGGGAGGTAGGAATGAGATGAATTAGGTGGAAGGGTCTTTGAGTAAATAGGAAAGGTCAGGCTATAGGAATTGATGAGGAAAAGAGAAGGGCCGTTATAGGAGCTAGGAGCGGGAAGAGTGTTGGAATCCAATACACGACTTTCTTGCTTGACACTGTGGCCCCCTAGTGTATCAGAAAGTAACTCACTTCTCTCTCCATTCCTCTATGGAGTTGTTCATTGGAAGAGGAGAGGGAAGCATTAGCTGTGTTTCAGAGGGAATGCCCTGTCCCTAGCTTTTTCACCATGGGCCTACTGCATACTTTGTGGGAAAATGAATCATTAAAATAGACTACTCTCTCGTCCTCTTTGAAATGTGAACTGAAGCTGGCAAGATGCCTTGCCTGTGATATTTAAAAGGAGATGCTTGGGATCTGATCAAATTGCCCGAAACCACCTGCTGCAATACAGATCTCTTTCCTCAGCAGGATATAGGCTTTAAAAAAAATGTTTTCTAAGTCAAGCTATTTGATTTTTTCTACTCTGTTAATTTTGATTTTAGGTTTTTCATTGAGCTTTATTTTCTGACTGAAATTTCTTCCTAGTTTCTTGAATTTTATTTCTCATTTGAACTACTCTGGAATTTCAGGCCGCTATTTACTATATACTTGAATCCAGAATTCCTCCTTCCCCTGATGCAGTTCTGTGTTCTTAGCCTTGTGGAATGGAGCTCAGCCTTCAAGAAAAGATTTTGGATTCCTTTCCACCACTACTCTCTTCCCTAGATTGTGTGAAAACTTCTTAATATGATGCCCTTTGACACCAGTCATTTCCTAATATTCCCCTCCACCACTAGCAAAGAGAGAGAGAGTTAAGCAAAACCAACTGTTAGTTAGGGTTGAGTTACCTGAACTTGGTTTTGGATTTTTAAAAGAGCAGCCGTTTCTTGGTTCTCAAGTGGACTGAGGCAGGAGACCTGCATCAGAGCCCCACCTCAGACACTTTGGGTGACCACTGAACTTCTGTCAACCTCAGTTTCTTCTGTAAAATGAAGATAAGAACACTGGCCTTATCGGGTGCTTAGGATCAATGGAGATCACAGGTGAGGTGATTTGTAACCTTTAAAGCCCTCTGGAAACATAAGCCATCACTATTATAGTAGTGGACCCCAAGTTCTGCTAGGTCCTAGCGAGCCAGGGAAAGGCAATTGATGCCTGACAAGCAGCTTATCTTCAGAGGTCCTGACGAGGTGAATTTTTTGGCTATAGGATTTCTCCAGGATTGTCTGCTAAGTTCAAGAGGGGTTATAGTCTGAATCAGTAGAGGGAGGACCCAAGCAAATAGAATCAAATGATTGCAGTATATGCTTGTAGAGAAACATCACTATCCCATATTGCTGTTTTTAGGCAGATAGAAACTTGAGAAGCTGCATGGTATAGTGGATAGAGATCTTGACTCAGCCAGAAAGGCCTACTTCACATGATAGCTATGTGACTCTGGGCAAGTCACTCAATCTCTCTGTGTCTCAGTTTCCTCATCAGTAAAAATGTAGGCCTCTAAGGTCCTTTCTAGCTCCAGCATCCTGTGAAATAGGCTGAGGTCCCAAAAAGTCCTGAGAAATCTATAGATCATCTCATTTTAACTTTACAAGAAGAATTGGCCGTTGTTGTCAATGAAGAGAATTCATGGTTCTTTAAAATTGGCAGACAAGCCCTGGTCTAGTGGGTAGGGGCATTTCAGTTGTAAGGACAAGCACCAGGGAAGTGTTGTGTTTTTTGGGTTGGTGTATGTGACCATTACAGAATCACTTTCATCTGTAAAGTAGACTTGACCCGTGAGATGACAGGGCCAACCTGGAGTCTTCTTGGTTTTGATATGACTGGAGAGGGATAATTTGTGAATATTGTACCATTCTCCCTTTGTTTCAGGATCCCAGGGCTTCTCAATGGTAGGGAGAATCCATAGGGCAGTGAGATTCTTTTAATCAGGCTCTTCATTTCCCTGTTGAATTCTTGACCCTTCATTTTCAGTAATCATACCTATAAGGACTTGGAGAGAGCAGCAAAATGATTTGATCACCCCTAGATCACCCCTGTGAACTTATTATATATCTGGTTGCCTTTAGAATAAGACTGTAGCCATGCATTGATGTGCATCGCTTAGGCAGTTTTCTTATTGTGGAAGTCTGGTATCTTAGGAATTAAGATGGCTTTGGTACTTTGAGTTGAGGTAAGTGTTTCCCTGAAGGGCCCTGTCCCATGTATCATTCATGGTGCCTGACCTTGGAACTTTTATTCTTTGCAGGGTGGATTTTAATGTTCCCATGAAAAACAAAGAGATAACCAACAACCAGAGGTAAGATCTCTACTAACTCTCCCTACTGAGGTCCCTTGGGCCTAGTTGAGGATGTGGGGGGGAATGTGTAAAGCCTGCTCACCCTTTTTGGGTCATGGACCCCTTTGGCAGTCTGCTGGTAAGTGTACCTTCTTAGAATAATGAGGATCATTAGATTGTAAGTTCCTGCCTCTTTGAATCCCCAATGCTTAGCACAGTGCCTGGCACTTTGTAGGTGCTTAATAAATGTGTAATGAATGAATAATGATTTTCAATGCACAGAATTACAAAGGAAGCAGGAGGTTGGTAGCCCAGTGGATAGAGCCCTGGGCTTGGAATCAGGAAGACTCATCTTCTTGAGTTCAAATCTGGCCTCAGACACTTACTAGCTGTGTGACCCCGGGCAAGTCACTTCACCCTGTTTGCCTCAGTTTCCTCATCTATAAAATGAGCTGGAGAAGGAAATGGCAAAATCACTCTAGTATCTTTGCCAAGAAAACCCCAAATGGATCATGAAGAGTCGGATGTGACTGAAATGACTGAACAACAACAAATTTTTTTTCCCAATTCAGGTTTATGATTCCACTCCCCCCACCCCCCACCCCCACCCCCAGTCTATTCACAGATTCCAGGTTCAGAACATCTGTTGTAAAAAATCAGGTGATTTCCAAAAAGTAGCATTATAGTCTTTAGGAGATCAGTTTAGGGGCAGCTAGGTGGTGCAGTGGATAGAGGACCGGCCCTGGAGTCAGAAGTACCTGAGTTCAAATCCGGCCTCAGACCAAACACTTGACACTTACTAGCTGTGTGACCCTGGGCAAGTCACTTAACTCCAATTGCCAAAAACAAAGACAAAACAAAAAGTAAATTCTGTAGGTCACTTTGATTATTGTGTAAATAAACCAAGTTTTAAATATACAAAATGAGCTACCTTTATGCATATCAATTTATACATAGTTACTAAACAAAGTGACAGGCACACAAAGTGACATTTTAATTTCCTTGATATTTCTGGCTTACACTTATTTTTAAAATTAAAACATGTCTTAAGAAGGGAAAAAAGTGTCTCTCCCTTTCCCCACCATCTTGAATCTATCTATTTCAGGTATTTTATATATCTGCCACATTGACACATGATGGAGAAGTCTACTGGTAGTCAGAGGATCAGGATAAAATGTAACTTATTATCCTAGATAGGATTTTCAAAGATAGAATGAAGTATTAGAGGGACTTGAGAAGGGCAAAGGTCCCTACCAACTTGTAGGGATGATCTCTTTATTACCTCTCCTTTTTGGTTTGCAGAATTAAGGCTGCTCTTCCTAGTATCAATTACTGCTTGGATAATGGAGCCAAGTCTGTTGTTCTGATGAGCCATTTAGGCCGACCTGATGGTATCCCCATGCCTGACAAATACTCCTTGGAGCCCGTGGCTGCGGAGCTCAAATCCTTGCTGAAGAAGTAAGTGCTGGAGTCTGGGGGCTGGGTGGGCTCCTGGGTGGGCTCTGTTGGCAGGCATATTTGTCACCAGTTTCCTAGCTTTCAGTCTACTCAGATCTCTGCATCCTTCTCTTAATTCCCAGAGAGGTTCTGTTCCTGAAGGATTGTGTGGGTCCAGAGGTGGAGCAAGCCTGTGCTAACCCACCTAACGGTTCTATCATTTTGTTGGAGAATCTTCGCTTCCATGTAGAAGAAGAAGGAAAAGGCAAAGATGCTTCTGGGAACAAGGTAAATCCTTAGGTTTGGACATCGAATTTGTATCTGATAGTGAAAAATGAAGGGTGGGTATATACAGAGTGGCGGAGGTTCGTGTGGCTTTAAAAACAGATTAATACATGTAAACCATTCATGTCCAAGCATGATTACTAAAGATGCTCTCTTTGTTTTGTTTTTGAGAGGCAATCTGGGATTAAGTGACTTGCCCAGGGTCACACAGCTAGTATATGTCTGAGGCCACATGTGAATCCAGCTCCTCCTAACTTCAGGTTCAGTGCTCTAGGCACTGCGCCACCCAGCTGCCCTAAGGCGCTCCCTTTAGAATGTGCCTTGTAACACACCATGGCCCAAGCTTAACCCAGAACATTATTGTTCTTGTTGCTGTTCTTATTTTCTGATAGCATATGATTTAAATGAAGGAATCACTCTGGAAGGGTAGTGGGAGTTACTCTGATGTGGGGAGTACAAAGGGCGAGTGAGTGCAGGGTCTTACTGGCTGAGTGACTAGGCTGAGCCTTCAGCAGAGCTGAGCAACATTTACACAGTTTAGGGTTCAAGAATTCTTCTTGCAAGACTAAAACAAAAGGCTTGGGGTTGTGGGGAAGGTGTTTTGTGTTGTCCTTTGGAAAGAGGAGAAACTTGGAGGGCTTGGCATTTGAAAAAGTAAATTAAATCTACTGTAGTTGGGAATGTTCCTATTGAAAAACAACTGAGGTAGGGAGTTGTTATGACTCCCCCAAGCCTGGTATGTCCATCCCTGGGGTGCAGAGGAGCTCAAAGTACCTTCATACCCAAATTAATTTTCCTTCTCAATATCTCTGAAGTCAGCAGAAGTGGCTGTTTCTCCCAATTTACAGAAAGAGAACCTTGAATCTCTTGAGGTAGAGGAATTTGACTGCTGTTGGAAGGTTTGTCGCTACTGGAACAATAATTCAGCCTCCTGATTCTTTGCCTACTAGATTCTTGCACAGATTTGAACCATATGGTCAGAAAGCCAAATATTGGCGATTAAGCCAGCTGTTAGAGCTGGTTCTCTTGGGATCGTTTCCTACTTGCTTGATGGCTTAAAAGGAGGCGCCAGAGGTGATCTTAGCAGTTTCTGCTTTTAAGGTCTTGGAACAAGCAGAGAGAAGTTCCTTGCTAAGTGTCTTGGTCTCATTTTGCACAGCTGACATTTTCCTAAGGTCAACAGGGAGTGCTTGCTATTAAGCAGTTTCTTTTCTTAGCACCAGTAGCCCTGGTCCTGCCCTCGCCTATCTTTGGCATCATTTTGCTACAGTAGTAGTAGAAGGCTGACCTACAGTGCTGTGCCCTTTCTCCACTGAAACCCAAGACATTTAGCTTGAGAGTTTGAGAGTGACAGAAGGCAAGTTGCAGCCCGAAGAAGGAACTTGGGGCAATGCTTTTTGGGGGGGGGACGCGTGTCTAGTTATTTAGCATACCAGGGCTTGTCACCTCTGCTTTAGACTCTCCCATTCCAAAAGCCAATAAAAGGTCATCTAGAAGAAGACTTTGAGGTGGTCATACCTCCTCTGTATAGAGGCTGCTGACAAAACTTGGGGGTGTCGAGAACCAGATTAAAATGTAATGGGGAAATGGTTGACAAAATAAATACAAATGCAACACAACATAGATAATGTTAATTTGTGGTTTTCTAAGTCAGTTTACAGCTGCAGCAATCAGGCTTCCATTTGAGTTTGATACCACTGCTTTGGAGCATTTTTCTCCTAAAATGTTTGTGCTCCATTTATTTGAACAGTCCCAAGTGGGCAGGGATCCCCATGCCTTTTTCTTAGGAAGAGAACTTACTTTAGGTTATATAGAGTAGAAAAGAGAAGCCGTGGGTTCAGTTCCCAGCTCCAAAGCTTAGTTATGTGATCTTGGGTAAATCACCTAACCTCCTGAATACTCCATTTCCTTAACCAAAAAGTGCTTGTCCTTTGGAGCCAACTATCACAGAGGGTGGTTATGAAGAAGGGTTTTGACCCTAAACCTTCTGACTGTCCCATATCGTAAGCACTTCTGCTTTCAAAACATCTCTTTTATATGCCCCCTTCTCTTCACTGATGGAACCACAACTCAAATTTGGGCCCTCCCTCATCACCTCTTACTTGGATCTCCAATTTGTCTTCTACTCAGCTGCCAAGGTGATCTTAAAGTTCTTCATAATGTGGTCCCTTCTTAGGTTTCCAGTCTTTTTAAACCTCACTCTTCCTCCACAGACTCACCTACTTGCAGTTTCTCTAATATGATACTTCATCTCTCTGTGCCTTTGCTTTGACTGTGCCCCCTACCTGGAATGCTCTCCTTCCTCACCTGCCTCTTAGTTTTCCTGTTTTCCTTCAAGACTCAGGTCAAATCTTGCCTTCTTCAGGACCCTCAGCTGCTAATTCCTTTCTCTCAGCTAGTGTGTTCCATCTATCTTGTACCTGCTCGTTGCCTTCTCCATTAGAAGATAAGCTCTTTTTTTTTTTGGTAAATTTTTTTTTATTTTAAACTTAAATACAAAATGATAAAAGAAAAAAAAATTGCCATGTACACAGCAGACCATAAGAGAGGTTGTGGTATAAAACAATACATTACCATTTCAAGAAAACCTATGTAATAAATGTTACACATTGTTTTCAAAGCTACCCAGCTTTCTTTGCTTCCTTGTTGGTTTTCTTTTGTTCTCTGCTGTGCACTTTTTACTTTATTCCCCTCCCTCCCAAAGAAGGCTACAATTAGACATAGATATCTGTAAACGTACATGTATACATATATACACTCATGCACATATGTAAGACTTATTTTCTCCTATTGTCTGTTTCTCGGAATGTGGATAGCATCTTCCTTCATAAGTCCAAGTCTTTCCGTGTTTTTCATCAGCTCACTGATCATTTCCTACACTGCAGCAATATTCCAACCCAGTCACATCCTATCTGAGATTGTCCATGAAACCTTGTTCCCAGTTTTCTGCATTCCTTCTGTTCTTGGCTACATAGGTTTTATTTATACAAGAAAATTTTCATTTAAAATAATCAAAATTATCCTTTTTACATGTCAACAATGTTCTCGCCTTATAATATAGTTCAGAAAGTCTGATAACTGCTGATTCTACTTCCTTTACATCTTTTTTTCCCTGGTTTCTTTGAAGTTTCTGACCTTTTGTTCTTCCAAATGAACTTTGTTATTATTTTTTCTAACTTAGTAAAATAATTTTTTAGTAATTTAATTGAGTTAACATTGAATAAATAGGTTAGGTAAAATTGCCATTTAAACAATTATTGACTTTACCTACCCATGAACAGTAAGTATTTAGTTATTTAGATCTTGAGTTTATTTGTATAAAAAGTGTTTTATGTATATGTTCATATAGTTCCTGTGTCTGTTCTGGCAGGTATACAGTCAGGTATTTTATACTGTCTAGGTATTTTAAATAAAACAATATTGAATAATGTTGCTGACACATTATGTAGTTCCTCTATTTTTCACTTTTGATTAAATCTATTTTAACTTTAACTTTGTCTGAGATCATGTTTATTATCCTTGCTTTTTTTATATACTAAATTCTACTCCTGCCCTTTATTTTATCTTTGTGTGTATCTCATTTTTATAATGTTTCCTGAAAGCAACATATTGTTGAACTCACATTTTTAATCTGTTATCTGTTTCCATTTTATGTCCCTGTCACATTCTAAGCTACAGTTACTTGTTGTGTATTTTCCTCCTTCCTATTTTGCCTCACTACCCTTCTCACCCTATTTACTGTGTCCTTCCTCACTCCTCTGCTGTACTTCTACCTAGTCCCTTGCCCTCCTATTCCTTAACCTACCCACTCTTCTACCTACCCTCTCTTGTCCTCTCCCCCCGCCCTATCCCCTTGCCTTCTTACTTATTTCTGAATTTAGAAGACTTTGATACCCTTCTAGATACATATGTTGTTCTCTCTTTAACTCATTCCTGATGAGAGTAAGGTTCAAGCACTGCTCAAGCACCCTTTTCCCTACTAGCTTCTTTTGTATTAGTTTTTCCTTTTATGCCTCATTTGTATGAGATAATTGCTTTTTTTAATCTCTCCCTAGAGTTTTATTTTTTTTAGAATCATCCCATCGTACTCAGCTCAGCCCAGGCCTTTCTTTCAAACTATCCAAATAATGACAATCATAAGAATACTGCTAATATTTTCACACATACAAAGTAAACAATTTGACCTTATCGAGTCCCTTATAATTGGTCTTTAATAGTTACCTTATATTTCTCCTGGATGTTATATGTCAAACATTTCCATAAGTTTTGGGGGTTTTGTCACAGAAACCTGAAAATCTTTGAGTTCGTTAAATGTCCATTTTTTTTTCTTTTCATTCAGAATTATATTTAACTTTGCTGGGTAAGTTACCCTTGGTTGTAACCCCAGCTGTTTTGCTTTACAGAATATAGTATTCCAAGACCTACAGTCCTTCAACATAGTAGCTGCTAGGTCTTGTGTAATCCTTACCGTATAGCTCCATGATATTTAAATTGTATTTTTCTTGTTGCTTCCAATATTTTCTCCTTAACCTGTGAGCTTTGAAACTTGGCTATGCTATTCCTGTAAGTTTTCCTCCTGGGATCTCTTTTAGGTGGTGATTGGTGAATTTTTTTTTTTCTATTTCTTCTTTGCCTTCTTGTTCTAGAACTTCAGGGCAATTTTCCTTGATAATTTCTTGTAATATTAAGATCAGTGTTTTAAATCATAATTTTCAGGTAGTCTGACTATTCTTGTATTATTTTTCCTCTATCTGTTCTCCACATCAGTTGTTTTTCTGATGAGATGTTTCACTTTCTCTTCCATTTTTTCATTTTTTTAGTTTTGTTTTATGATTTCTTGGTGTCTTAGAATATCATTAGCTTCCCCTTGCCCAATTTGAGTTTTCAAGGAATTATTTTCTTCCTTAAGTTTTTGATTCTCTAGTTCCAGCTGGTTAACTTTCTTTTCATGATTTTCTTGGATTACTTTCATTTTTTTTTTCTAATTTTTCCTCGATCTCTCTGATTTTTAAAGTCCTTTTTAAGTTCTTCCAAGAACTCTTTTTGTGCTTGGGACCATTTGATGTTTCTTATTGAAAAAGGAGTGGCTTTTTTAGCTCCATTATCTTCCCCTGAACATGAACCCAGATCTTCCCTATCCCCATGGTAACTATTTGTGGTTGGGTTCTTTCTCCTTTGCTTACTCTTTTTTTTTTTAATTTTGTTTTTAACAGCTATTAGTGTAATCACCTTGTAGTCCTGGGGTACTGGGAATGATGGCCCAAGCCTCAGGTCCTTCTTACTGTTATTTTCTGAGGTCTGTCTTGGGGCCCAACCTTGGGCTCTCCTGTCCTAAGCCAAGGCTAGGGCTCTCAGCCAGCAGGGTCCCTGACCCTTACTACTGCACTCATGAGTATGTATTAGCTCCTTCTCCCTGCAGCCACAGCCCAGGGTGAGTTTGGTCAGCACAGCTGTGTGTGGGTCCCTCAACAGTGAAAAGTCCTTCAATTTTTTCCTACTCAGCCTTCAGACCCCAGCCCCTCCCACCCCCTACCCCCTACCCCCACTGTCTTCTGGGCTGCCTCTCAACTCAGCTGCCCCCAGGGCTTGTTGTTTGTTGATTCTGCAGAGTCAGCCTGGAGGTGTTTGCACTTTACTCTGGCTGAAAGAGGTGGGGTCTTTCCTGGGGGCTTCTGGCCTGGTCTTAGGAGGACTACTGCTTTACCCAGTTTTATTTGTGTTGATTTCTGCTGCTCTGAGGCCAAGTTCTATCTTTTTTTGTGGAAGAAATTTAAAGAGTTTTCTGACTACTCCACCATCTTCTTAGCATGCTCTCAGACTATTAGCTCCTTGAGGGCAGGGACAGTGTTTTTGCCTTTCTTTGTGTCCCTAGCACTTAGCACAGTGCCTGACCCATACTAAACACTTGCATAGTAGATGCTTGGTGGTGTAACTTGACCTGACTTACCTGGGTGCTTGTCTTTTACTCCCTAATAATAAGTGCCGTTTTTGAAGGATTGTGGGGCAGCAGACTGAGCACTTTTCTCTTGATTCTCTGGAAGACTTGAGGAAAGCTCCTACTTCATGGTAGCCCACTTCCACCGCCTCTCAAACGGGTGCCTCCTATACTTTGCTCTTTGAGAAAGGACTGTGCTTGGGTCACATTTTGGAAATAGCCCTGCTGGGTTGCAGTGCAAACACTCTGGGTTCCACCTTCTGGTCTCTGCCCTTTCAATGTCAGTGCCCATTTGCTGGCCTGTGGCTACCCTGGTTCTTGGATATTTTTATTTCACCTCCTGAATTTGTCACCACACAACCTTTTCAGAAGGGTCATGCCATCCCTTTAGGGGAGTGTCTTGAATGGTTCAATGGTATTTTAAGTCGTCCTAGCTTTTGTTTCTTTGTTTTGAGTCTCTGTTTTTGGCCCTTGGACAACTGCAACCAACTCGGAGCACCGATCTGTCGCTGCAGTTGGTCACACGCCATCCTTGTTGTCTTCTACTTTGTCTTAGCCACAGTTCTGTGAGGAACCCATGTGAGGGATTCTGTACCAGGCAGGCAGTACCTTCATACATAGTGGTTTCTGTGGGACACACAATGAAATCACAACTTTTCCAAAGGCAGATGTGTTCAAATGAGAGTGGAAGCCAGAAAAACTAGCGCCTCATCCAACAGGACATTTGGGTCACTCAGGCCCACCCCCTCCAAGGCTGAGCTCTAGGCATGCACACCGAAGTCCAGTCCCCTCCTTGGATGGGTGAGGAAGTTGAGGTTCACAGAGACAAGGTGACTTATCTCAGGATGTAGCTAGTGAGTGACAGGTGGGGATAGGAGCAGTCTGGACCAAGTGAAGTTTCTTCTGCCTCCAAGCCTAGTGCTCTTTCCACCATCCCATAGAGACTTAGAGCATTAGGGAGAGGAGAAAAAAGAGAACATGTGATCTTGTTGGTAATTTTAAAAAAATGATGCCCACATTTCCTAGGTCTTTAAAGTTGTTGTATAAGATCACCTGTGCTATGTTCTTTTCTCTAAGGAACACTTAATGATGGTAAGAAACGTTTTTGTTGGTTTTTTTTTTTAGTTGCTTTCTGAGATACTGATGTTCCTTGTGTTTTTTTTTTCTCAGATCAAAGCTGAGCCAGCCAAAGTGGAAGCCTTCCAAGCATCCCTGTCCAAGCTGGGGGACGTCTACGTCAATGATGCTTTTGGTACTGCTCACCGGGCCCACAGGTACCCAGTTCCTTCCATTGGTAGTGTTGCCTTCAAAATGAAAGAGGAGAGAAAAGTTGAAAGTCATGATCCTTAGAGCCGGGAGATATGGATAAAGCTGTCTGTGGTTCACATTTTATTTTCCCAATTGTCCCCAAAGGGGACAATGAAAACTTAATATTCATGGAGTTATCTGACAAGAGAATGCTAGCCCTGAAGAGGAAGCTAGTTCTCCCCCACATGAAGGAGCAGGAGTTCAAAGCTTATGCCACTAATAGGGAACTAATTGAGAAATCACCCCCAGCTTTGTCGTTAGCCGGCTAATTATTTATTACACTTGAGTGTCTAAATCATCATGGAGAGAGCTTTGACCTGCTTTGTACTATTGTATCCTCTAGAAGAGCATAAGTTGGGTAACTTAGCTGGACTATATCCTGTGGTGGGCCTTCCTTCTTGGACCTTTGATTTGTCTCCTACCACTGAGGAGAGCAATTCAGTTAAGGAAAAAAATTAAGGTTAGCGCAGAACTCTGCTCGGTTCTAAGGGAGAGAAAATCTAGTCCTGGCCTGCCTGGTAGGGAGAGGAGATACAAACATGAATGATAGTCTGTCCTCTTATTTATTATATTATTGAATGTTATATATTACTATACACAAAACAAAGTGGTGAATTCTGAGAGGGGAATGTCATTATCAATGGGAGATCAGGGAGTACTTCCTGGAGGAGGTGGCCTTCAAAGGCTGGTGAGAAGGCATTTGGTAAAAAATGGAAAGGAGGACATTGCAGGCATAGAGATTGTCATAAGCAAAGGCACATCTGCAAACAGAAAGTTGTCCAGGCTGGCTGGAGTGTCAGGTTCACGGAGGGGAGTGATGGGAAGTGAGACTAGACATGGAGGATGATGCCAGATTGTAGAGGGCCCTGAATGTCAAGCAGAAGAGTTCTAACGTCTAGCCAGTAAGCCGTTGAGAGCTAGTCCAGGGTTTTACCCTAAGAATGACAGGTGGACTAGATCATAGGATTTAGACCTGGAGGGACCTTAGAGATCATTCTAATACCACTAATCCTAGTACCCTTGCCTTCTATTTTATAAATAAGCAAACTGAGGCTCACAGAAAGGCAAGTGATTTGTTTGTACTCTAACAGCTTATACTTGGAGGATCCAGCATTTGACTCCAGATGATAATGACACGCGCAGATAAATATAATACATAGTCGTGCCTGTCAAAGAGAAGGGAGAGAGAAGGGAACAAGTGTCGATTAAGCACCGGCTGTGTTCCAGGCACAGTTCCTAAGCTATTTACAAATATCTACTGGTGGTTCAGGAGCTGTCCATGCATATGTCCTTTCCACTTTTGGTAAAAATCCCCTGCTGTATCCAAACCTTATCTCTCGGTTGACTTAGGGAATTAAACCCTGGAGAACAGGGATAGTTTCGGAAGTTCACGTTGTTTTGTGATGTCCAGCAAGATTTGCATGAAGACTTCTGTTTCACTTTCTTTAGGTCATGATGAGAAGCTGTCCTCACTTCTGTATCAATGTCATAGTTTTTAGGTTTTAGGCCTAATGTAGAGTCCCTGGTCATTTGCGTGTAGTTTTGTTATCGCTGATGGGCTCTTAGTAGGAAATATGACTGAAGTGAACCTGTATTCTCTCACTGTTTCCTCTGGGACTTCACCAGGAGTCAGAGGCTAAGCTGGTTTCCAAGCTTGCTTCCCTCTTATTAGATGAAAGCTACAACCCTACAGTATCCCAGAAGGAATTCCTGCCAGGCCTGGGATTGTCTGAAACCTTAATGCCATATCTTTGTCCTTTCTCTCCTAGTTCCATGGTGGGAGTGAATCTGCCCCAGAAGGCAAGTGGTTTCCTCATGAAAAAGGAGCTGACTTATTTTGCCAAGGCCCTGGAGAGCCCCGAGAGGCCCTTCCTGGCCATCTTGGGCGGGTAAGAGTTGCTTTCCAAGTTGTTACAGTAGACTAAAGGTTATGGGATGGTCCTTTTGTTTTCTCTTCACATTTGATAACTGGAGCCTTTTGCCTACCAATATTTTAAGAAAAAAAATGTCCATCCTAAACTTTAGTTTCTCAGGGCTTCTTACACTTGTCCCTTGACCATACCTCAGTAAAGAAGGCAGATGGGCAAGCAGAAAAGACCTCCGTCCTTGGGTTAAAATCGGAAATCTCAGATCTTGCAATCAGTGGAAAAAGCTGGAAAATGTATTTATTTTTGCATGTATGGTCCCTGGGACTTTGTCAAATGGTTTCTTTCCCCTGCTTGGGACTTAGTTAACACTTTATCCTAAAAGGGGTAGGAAATGACCACCTAGAAGAGGCTGCCTCTGGTCAAGGTTCATTGAGCAGGTAACAGCCTCACCCCTGGCAAAGCCATTTGTGTGCCAGCCCCAAGACTCTTGGCTGGAGTCCATGACCTTTCTGGGTAATGGTTAGAGTCCATGGGACAGAAAACACTCAGCATTTCCCAGTGTAAACTGACCCTGGGAATGTGGACCAGTTTCAGATAACTCAGAAGCTCCACTGAGCAAGAGCCAGGCTCCCTAAGTACAGAGTTTCAGGATCCTGGAGGTTTCTAATGGGGATGGATTATTATCTTTCTCATTTTTGTCCCCCCAGAAAGCAAGTAGTGAAAGAATATCCTGGGAGTTCTACCTGGAAGCTTTTCTCAAGTTGAGATTGATTTTTAAAATGCCTAGGTCTTCACCTTCCTTTCTCTTTGGGGTGGAAGCCACCACCTAATGGTGCCTGGTAGATTTTTGAAACTAGAAGATCTAAAAACAAAGTCAGCACCAGAGTTAGATTTGCTTTGGGTTTCAATTCAGCCAGTCAATAAGCATTAATTAAGGGGGCAGCTAGGTGGCATAGTGAACAGAGCACCAGGCCTGGAGTCAGGAGGACCTGAGTTCAAGTCTGGCCTCAGACCAGACGCTTGATACTTAGTAGCTGTGTGACCCTGGGCAAGTCACTTAACTCCGATTGCTTCACCAAAAAAGAAAAGAATAAGCATTAAGTGCCTACTGTGTGCCCTGTGCTAAGCACCGGGAATATAAAGAAAGGCAGAAGATAGGTCCTGCCCTTGAGGTGTTCCCTAAAATATCATTTTCACCAGCTTCTTTCTCTCCTGCTAAACTGTCTCCCTTTCCCATTCTCTAAAAAAAAAAAAATTGTCCCTCTGATGAAGTATTTTGAGGTGAATTCTCTGCCAAACAAAATACAGTATGGGCTTTACTAGTGAAATCAAAGGCCCTAAGAATTTCCCAGGCCTTCTGGGAGACTTCCTCGACTCTGAATCAAATTGTGGTATTGGTCTTTTTAAGAGGTGTAGCTTATAGCTCTGAGTTGAGAAGAGTGTTGGCTGACTGGTAAACTTAACAGAATGCAGGACATAAGTGAGCTACAAGGAAATCCTTGTCTGTTACTTGAATCTCTTTGCTTGGATTAGACTTGTTTGGGGAGATGTCTTCTACCACCTTTTATTTTTGTAAAGAAAACATTTCCAAAAAAGAAAAGAAAAAGTTTCAAAGGGATACAAAGTGGTGCCCATCTCCTTTGCTCTCTTCTTTCCTTTGCCCTTTCCTCCTCCACTGCTTTCCCACGTGCTCTGACATACAGACATCTCTAGAAGATAGGAATTGGAGAAGTGAGAGTTGTCTTTGGTTGGCTTATAAAACAAAAGGTCTCTCCACTCGTTCTTGTTGTACTGATGGAGAGAAGAAGTAATTTGCCCAGTGGAGTGAGATTTAGCTAAGTAGGGGGAAGTTTACATAAAGAAAGTGAGTTCTTTTCTGAATGATATTTTGGAACGAGTGCTAGACTTCTCAAGTTTGCGTCTGTTCTCTGGCTTTTTGCTCTTAGCCTGAAATGGCAGTCCACGTACCTCCAATGTCTAGTGGAGCACTAACTGCTCTGAGTTCAGTGATGAGCACAAAGTACCCAAGCCAAAGGTTGTAAATTGGGGCTGAGGAACAAGAGCTAGGTTATACTCCTGGCCCAGTATCCCCAGAATATCTAGCTGGAGCCCTGGCTGCAAAGCCTAGGGCCGACTTGAACTCTGAGCTCATTTTATCCCAGAGGAGATGTCCATGGTCTATATATGCGCTCCAAAGAATTTGATGGGAGGGCTGCCATGGTGCAGAGTAGAGCAGGGCGTTGATGCCTGGGCTGCCTCTTTGTGGAACATCCAATGTGTATCTTTCCCTAGTGATGTTCTGACACTTAACTTCATCGAGTTGACAGGGACTTTCTTCATTTGGATGGTGCTTCTTTGTTTCTTTTTCTAGAGCAAAAGTTGCCGACAAAATCCAATTGATCAACAATATGCTAGACAAAGTCAATGAGATGATCATTGGTGGTGGGATGGGTTTCACCTTCCTCAAGGTGCTCAACAACATGGAGGTATGAAACCAACAGAGTTGGCAGGGGCATCACTGCTCATGTGGCTGTTTACGCATGCCTGAAATCCCAGTCTAAGCCTGAATCAATTCCCCGCACATCCCCCAAGCTTTATTTATCCCTGTGAACAACCCCCTCTGCCTGTTCCTCTCCTTTCTTGCTGCATTGTTCTTGGATATTAATGCATTGTGCATTAGCTCCCATTTGTCCCATGGGGCGCTATCCTTCTGCAGATGTCCTTAGCAAATAGCCTCTCATTCCTTTTGTCTTGTTCCCCAGATTGGAACTTCTCTTTTTGATGAAGAGGGGGCTAAGATTGTCAAAGACCTGATGGCCAAGGCGGAGAAGAATGGCGTCAAGATCACTTTGCCTGTTGACTTCGTCACAGCGGACAAGTTTGATGAGAATGCCAAGACTGGCCAAGCTACATTGGCCTCTGGCATCCCTGCTGGATGGATGGTGAGACCCCTTGGTAGATGGCACTAAGAGGCGAGAGTGGAATTTGTTTATTTAGCCATCACTTACTGAGTATTCCCCTGTGTGGAAGGGCTCCCCTTGAGAGAAGGTGCCAGTACTGACACGGAGCCTTAGGCCCTTGGGAGAAGGCTCCGGGGGAAAGGGCTAAAGAACTGGGGCTACCAACTCCTGATTTTGGTCCCACTGCTGCCAAAAGGTCATTTCTGCAAACAGACCCTTAAATTATATATAAAATTAACCTGCCTGGCCTTTCCTAAGGAGATAAGCTGCAAATGAAATGAATGAAATCAGTATTCTTTTCTGCTGGCCTGGTATCAATTTCTGCACAAGGTAAGCAAGTAGCTACTTATTGGGGCTGCCTTTTGGTCCTTCAGAGGCCCTATCTCTTGGCTCCTTAGGATCAGGTGGAAGGCCTTTGCTCTTATCTGTCGAAGTGCATTTCCTTCATGGCTTAGCTTTCATCTCTTCCTTTTAGGGTTTGGACTGTGGCCCCGAGAGCAGCAAGAAGTATGCGGAAGCTGTGGCCCGGGCCAAACAGATTGTGTGGAACGGACCCGTTGGAGTATTTGAGTGGGAAGCCTTTGCTCGGGGAACCAAAGAGCTAATGAACAATGTGGTGGAGGCCACTAAGAGGGGCTGCATCACTATCATAGGTAAAGGGACCCTGCACAGATCCTAGCCATGGAAGCTGATGCACCAGCTCTGTAGGCCAGATGGCGATGCTGCCACCCAGCACAGCTGTGATGAACCTCCTCGGGGTACTTATCTGTATCTGGGTAAATCATGAAAGCCAAATGAGTGTCTGGAGCTAAGGTGCCCTTGTGTTGGAACCAAGGAAGGATTCCTCAGTTTGCTTTTGAGTGTGAAGAGCACATTGCCTCATGCTCAATGTCCAGCTAATGTTCGGCTTTCTTTCTCTTCTTCCTCTTTGCCTATCCCTTGTCAGGTGGTGGGGATACTGCCACTTGCTGTGCCAAGTGGAACACTGAGGACAAAGTCAGCCATGTGAGCACTGGGGGTGGTGCCAGTCTAGAGCTGCTGGAGGGTGAGTTGTCTGAGGCGTTTGCCTCTGCCCTCTTGGGCTGGGCTGGGGAAGGGAGATGATGAACACAACGAAGGAGGAGGGTGGGGTTTGGTTTGGATGTGGGGAGGTAGGTCGTCTAGAATTTGCTCCTGTCATCAGTTGGTTAGTGGAAAGTTCATGTACTTCAATGTCTGTGGCATCTTCTGTCTGATACCTTTATTTTAAAATTCACTTCAACAATATTTGAGTACCTAATGTGGTAATTTTGGGCTAGACTCTCAGTAGTCTTATATAATGCTGATAGGTTTGCCCTGGCAAAAAGCCATAATTCCTCAGTGCTTTGCTGGACACAATGTCCTCCCTCGTCCCCTGTGTTAGCCTGCTCTGTTTGGGGGTCATTGAGCTGTCCCCCTTTCATGAGGCTAATAGACAATTCAGCTAACACTAGATCCCTTCATTGAGAGGGGCTGAGATGTTATCTACCTCCTGAGACATCTGCTGCAGGGATTTTTGTGCAGATCTGCCTGGGAGCAGAGGCCTATGTAAGATGACCTTTCTTTATAACCCTTAGTCTGGGAAATGAAAGGAGCTGGGATCATTTTACGTTGACCTGAGGCCCTGTTAGGGTTTCCTCAGCTGTTGGGAGCACTCTAGCAGGGACTTAATAAGACCTAGATAATGAGCAAAAGATGTTCCTTTTAGGTCATTTAATAGGAATTTGGTTCACACTGCTCTGTCAGGATGGCTGAGAGGTGATTGATTTTCAAGACTTTGTTTAGAGGTTGACTGTAGTGTCCAGAGGAAAAGCCAGAATCTTCTGGGGTTGGACTGAAGGTGGAATTTTCCTAAATCTTCTGAGGGCTTTTTTCATTTCAGCATATTTGTATGTAGTGTGTCCCCCCCCCCCCCGCCCCACACACACAGAAATGGGACTTGTATGAACTTGCTTCCAAGGATTTTGGAAAACAATGAAGTCTTTGTGGAGGAAAGGTGCTGCTATATCATAATCCAGCTTAATAGTGGGGAAACTTGGAGGTGAAACAGTTGGCCACTGTCACAGTGGACTAAAGAGCAGTTCCAGGCTTATTCATTCTAGGGAAAGCTGAGCAGGGCCGGCCCAATACGGGGCCTAGAGTAACCTTCCCACATGCTTGTTCCCCCTACCAGGCAAAGTCCTCCCTGGGGTGGCCGCCCTGAGCAATGTCTAATGGACGCCACTTTCCTGCCTGCTGGTTCCTGTGCACGGCCCTTCCAACGTGACGCTGCAGTGCTTCCTGACCCTTTCCTTGGCATTAGGCAAGTTTCTCCCTCAAGACTCAACCAGTGGCCAGAAGATGGGGCCATGAGAGCCCCAGAAGCAGCTCAACTTACCTTTGTGTTTCCTGGGTGTGCCTGTTGTCAGATCTCACTTGAACTTATTTAGCACGTCTAAACCATTGTTGTGATCTGTAGAGTGTATAAATATATATATATATAAAATATATATATTTATATTTTGCCTTTAGAAAGAAAAAAAAAAACAAAGCTAAAGCTGCTGTTAGCCATACTCTCTTGAAATAGTTTGTTGTGTTCAGCTTTGTCAGCAGCTGTTTTTGTCATTACCCACACACAGTATGGAAACAAGAAGAAACTCCAGTTTGGGGTGGGGGGGAAGGTTGACCTGTTAAATAAACATTTCATAAAAGTGCCAGCTCAATTAAACTGCTTTCTTCTTTTTTTTCTGTCATGCGGGATCTGGAGAAGGGCCCATTTGCCTTTGCCATTTTCTACTAGAACAGTTCAGTGTATTCAGGTACATTTTCAAAGAGCTTCCAGTGCTTTCCCATTTACTTTCTCAGACTGAGGCCTGGGCCACCCGAGGGATGGATGCTGATGGGTAAGTTAGAGGGCTGAATTTTGCTGAATGCAGAGAAATGTCTGAGTTGGCAAGTTAACGGGGCAGGACTGGCTGGAAGATAAGGAGATGTTTGGCTATTGAAGAGTAAGGAGAGGGATATAAAAACAAAACAGTTTGGAAAAATTCAAATTTTTGGTGTTCCATGACTAGGAAACTTGAGGAGGTTAGGCTGTAAATGAAGAGAATCCCATTTTAGAACTAACTAAAAGAGAACTATGGCGATGACTGTGAGTCCAAGTCTTTCATTTTACAGCTGGAGAATAGGCTCAGAGAGGTTACATGCCATGCCAAGGTCACACAGTGGCACAGTAGGAACTAGGGGAAGGGGAAAGAAGAGAAGCAGCATTTATATGGTGCCTGCTATGTGCCAGGAGCAATGTTAGCGCTTTTTACAAATATCTCATTTGATATAATATCAATGTTGATATAATAACTAATTCAGTGTTCTTTCCATGCTGCCTTTGCCCCCAACCAGCAGAGCTGGGAACAGTCTGGATGACAGAGGGCAAGAAGATCCAGACAGGAAACTACTCATTTGCTACAGAAGAGTCAAGGGGAATGAATCTTACTGAGCACCACTCATCACTGGGCAGTAGATGGGGTGGAAATTCTCTCTAATATATATATATGTATACATATATATATGTACATATATATGTGTGTGTGTATATATATGTATACATATATATGTGTGTGTGTGTATATATATGTATATTGGTATATGTGTATACATGTGTGTATATATAGCAAAGTTTTGGATGTTAAAATTATAGACCATAGGGGTACAGGTCATATTTTCCATGTATATCTTTCTCAAAGAGCTTACAGACTGGTTGGGACAATATAGCTAATACATAGGTCAGGGGACAGGAACTAGATTGGTATAGAGAGCTCCTGTGGGAAGAAACTCCCATCAATGTAGATTAACACCTTTGCAGAAAGAGTTGCCGAGTCCTGATAAGTCAGTGATAGCTAGTATGTGTCAGAGGCAGGCCTTGAACCTTGGTCTTCCTGGCTCCTAGGAGAGTTCCATAGCCATGCTGCCTTCGGCTCCCCCCCCCCCCCCCATATAAGCACTGAATTGTGGGTCATAGGGAGTCGAGTGTTTCATATTTAAGAAGAAAGGCGGGAGATTGAGGAGAGTGGAGTCCCTTCCTGCCTTATCTAGTTAGGGTTAAATCACTGAATTTTAGAATTGGAAAGGACCTTAGGAATCTTCAACCTCATTTTGCAGAAGATGAAGCATTTCCACTTCTAGCTTCTGTAGGAGAAGGACTTAGGTTGATTGAGAAGGAAATTGTGTAGTTGATTTGGAGGAATTTGGACTAATAAAGAAGGTCAGAGATTGAATCTGAGGAAGAGAAATTGAGGAAAAAGCAAAGAAAAAGTTCCAGCTCCAAGTTCTACTTCTGGCTTCTCTGAGAGACGGTTGACGGGAAAGGGAAAGGAAAAGGATGAAGGACCTGAAGGGGGAGACGAGGCCAAGCAGTTGGTGAGGTAAGAAAAGGTAAGTGAAGCAGAGTGACGAGTGGATTGGCTGGTGGGGCAAATTGGTAAAACCATTGGTGCAAGGCTGAACAGAGGTGTACGGTATGGCGGAGGATTGGTTGTTGAAACTAAGGACAGGAAGCTGAGTGAGGCTGTCAAAATTGTGAGGTCAAATTTAATAATTGGTTGTAAAGATTTTAGGTAAGTGCATGGGGTGATACATAAATCTACAAGGAGTTAAACAGTAAGGCTGAAAATCTCAACCCGCCTAGGGATCAGGGAGTATTTTGTAGTTTTGTATTGAGTTCAAATGTTTCTGCTATAGTTGGGTGTGTTCCAAGTGTAGACTGAGCTTCTTCCTGGAAGGAGGTAAAGATTTCATGTTCTAAGTTGTTAGGGACGTTGAACTGTTACCAAAGGAAAGGGAATCAAGTCTTTCACCTGGTAAAAGTGGGGAAACTCAAGTGGCCAAGGAGAGACTAGACCTTTATCAGGAGTTTGGAGGATGGAAGAATAAAGAAATCTACGAGACATTTAACAGAAAGGAGAAAAGGAGGAGAGTGAGGATACTGGATACTGTGAGGAGGAAGAAGTCTTCCAAGTAAGATACAATAGAGCCATAGTAACTATCGGGGAACAGGTCATCTAGTAAAGCAGTGTGGTGGTTGGCAATTCTGGGCTTGGTGTTCTTAACTATTTGTCTGATGATCTAATAACAATAGACAATTGTGGTCTTTCCCTGTATATGAGACTTAGCTAAATGGATTGTCACCCATTTGTTGATTAATGTGGATAGACATGATACTGCCAAAAGGGGCATTATGAAGGGGTATTGTGAAGTTGTGGGTGCTATATTATGAACTGTAAGAGTGCAGGTTGTGTTTTCTTTACTGTTGTCCACTGAAGGCAAGGGATGCAGAAGAGAAAATATTGAATTGGGATGTGAATCATGGGCTAACAGAATGGGATTTGTACTTTGGAACCATGGCTTAAAAAATAGGGATGCTGATTTCTTGCCTGGGATGGAATACACCTACTGACAAAGGCTGGTAAGAATGTATATTTGCGCCTTATCACCTGGTAAATCTCTTAGCTTATCTGCCATTTTTTTTTTTGATGTTCAACTTTGTCACATACTCATTCCTTCTTGAGACATCTTGTGATAATGCAGTTCACTGCTATTCCTGCAGATTAATTATTCTTAGTCCCTTCTAGTCTTCAACATTACTAGGCCTTCCTTGAGGCCCTTTGGCCAGAAATCAAAGGGGCAGGGTACCAACTAGTGCTATAGTACTAACTCTGCTACATGATAGCAAATTTCCTTCCCCTTAAGTTCAGGAGGTTTGGCTATACCCTCCAAGGTTGAGTTTTGAATGACTTTTTTTGGTCTTTATCCTGCAAAAATAATTTTAATAAAATTTGTTGGAATGGATTTTATTTCAAAATTGAGGTCTTGCATCTCAGAGGCTGTTGAATCAATTCTTTGAATCTGAAAAGATTTTTCAGAGATGTTCAAGGAGAATCAAAATATATCTGTTCTTGTTAAGCTTGACATGGATTGAACTTGGATTTAGGTGTATTTTTTTGTTTTACTTGCTTTGTAGATAATGAAGAGGCAAGAGAATGAATGTACTTGTACTGTAAGAATTTGATTTCATCCCACACAACAGTATCACTAACTGTGGTTTGGAGCAGATTTGCCAGGTGGGTAAATCCACCTTGAAGAGAACTGCTCCAGGTGTGGAGGAAGGAGACTGAAAGGATTACAGCTATCCCACATTTGTCAGTCCCAAGTTCAATATTGGTATTATGTCTGAAAACATCTTTTAAACTTAATGGAGATGCTATGTACTCAGAGCTAGGTGAGCATCACGACTTGGACCGACAGAACAGCAACTCAGTATGAGTTTATAGACTGTTGAAATCTATGTAAGGTTTGATGAAATTTTGCCTTTATGCAAAAGGACAGAACTGAATGAACTTCATACAAAACGGACTACTCAGGGATGCATGTGAATCACAAGACTTGAGGGTGATCTTGAGCGAAATACAAACAAGTATCAGGCACGTAGAAGAGTTACTTAGAAGAGTAATGTGATACTTAAGATATATTATCAAAGATATGTAAGAAGTGTGGAGTGACATTGATTTGAAAAAAAAAACAGGTCCTCAATGTGCTATAGTTTGGGGTTTACTTTAAGCCCATCTGCTTTGGATCATAAGCAAACCTTTTACTCTTCTTTGTCCATATTGGGCCCTTAAGCATCATGTTCAGTTTGGGCTTCTACAACTTAATGCAAAAATTAACAGAAGCCTGAGAAAATGGAGCTAAGGAATTCAGGGAAAAGACTACTAAGTTGGGGTGTGTGTGTGTGTGTGTGTGCATGCGCGCGCAACTTAATTCCTTATCCACATCAATGCAGTCTAAGTAAGGATATTGACCAAAGGTTTTTTTCTGAATGGTCACATGCTTAAAATTTCAAGAGACTGTAATTACATTTAGGACTGACTCCATACTACTTTAGCCTTGTAAATGATTCACTATTTAATAGACCTTCTTCCATCTTCCCAACGTAATGAAATGATGAATAAATTGATGAATTATAACTTTATTGATTGCATGCAACTTCTAATGAAAAACATTCATGATCCTACTAAAGTTCAACAATCTTAACAGCAGAAAAAGTTTTACAACTACATTACTTAAACACTTATTTGTTTGTTTTCTAGGAATTTGACATGATTACATTTATGTTCCAATCTATTTATACTTTAGAAATGCATCAAGGCTTGTCAGACGACGTCGTTTGCAAACTGTCAGGATCATCGTCGTCTACAAATTGTCGTAATCATCGTCGTCTTCATGTTTTCTTTTTAATGCGTTTGGCGACTCAACAGGGGTGTTCTGTGATACCACATTGGTAGTGATGAGGATGTTTTTTGGCCCAATCAGAGAAGGGTTAATCAGAACATTCTGAACAGCAGGAGCTGCAGGAACAGCTGGAAAATAAAAACATAACACCCAAAACAGGTATTGAGATCTCAAAGCAGAACAGAGTTAAATATATTAAGAATAGGATTTCAAGGTAAAAAAGCCTGCCTTTTTCACTAGTTGTTTAAGGACAGGGGAGACATGGCCATCCATGGTTTTTGGCAGCAGGGAAAGTCAGTAGCTAGGGAGAGACTGAAGATTAGAGGAAGACACATTAGAAGGGGATGGTAGTGCAGGGTCACCTCTTCATCACAGACTGTAGTGAGGGAAATGAGAGCAGGGGAAGATGCTGGAATTCTGTGAGATGGGGGGAGCTAAAGTACC